TCCTATATGCCTCACTTATCTGTCACTTATCTTATATGTCAAGTTCTTTTCCCCTGCTTGGGAAGTTTTCTGCCATCACTTCTGTGAACAGTTTTTTATGTCATCTGCACTCTCTCCTGTTTCTTCATTGGCTTTGATCAGTCTATGTTATTTTTCTTCGCATCATCTAGCAGCTGCTGCATTGATTTCTCATGGTCCCTTACTATTTTAAAGCAATTTTTCTTTTCGTGTTCACTAATTGCAATCTTATCTTCTATATCTGAAACTCTGTCCTCAAATTGGCTCATTCTGCTGTGTAGCCTTTCAATGGAGTTTTTAATCTCCTGGAAATCTGTTTGTATCTGTTTTATGGATTCCATTTGTTTCCTATGTTGGGATTCCATTATGTTCCTCAGCTCCTCTCTAGATTTATTAATCATGTTTTGCACTATGACCACAGTCTCTGCTGTTATCTGAGAAATTATTTCTGTTTTCATTTTTTCCAGATCCTCTTTTGTTGCCAATTCAGGGAGTCCAGGTGATTGAGTATCAGAGTTTCTCTTGTTTCCCTTTGGGGTTGCTTTATATGATCTGGAAGCCTGTTTTTGAGACTTATTTATGTGTCTTCTCATTTTGATGGGGTGGGTGGTGGGAGTGTGGGGGCATGGGGTGTGTGTGTGCTGCTGGCACCTGCGGGGCTCACCTCCTCTGCACTGGCAGTGGTGGTATGGCAGCCTGGAAGCCTCCTCTGCACTGGGAGTGGTGGTATGGTGGCCCAGAAGTGTATTCTATTATTTATTTATTTAGTGTTTCAAAACAGGGTCTCTCTGTGTAGTTCAGACTGGCCTTGAACTCATGGAGCCCAGGCTGGCCTGGAACTCACACCAATCCTCCTGCCTCAGACTTCTGAGGGCTGGGACTGTAGGCATGTACCACCACACCTGGAAATTTTTGTATACTAGAAATTAGAGTTTTTCCATAACCCAGCTGAAGAAGCACTGGTCTAAAATAGTCTCATTCCCTCAACTTTTTCCTGCCTGTAGGCACGCACATCCAGTCCTTGTATTCAACTGTCTCTGGATCCTCCCTGGCACTGTCTGCAAGGCCCCAGGTGCACCACATAGCCCTAAGGATCTGTGCCCACCTTCTCTGCCTGCTTCTTGTAGCTGGTTAGCCCTTGTTTATTGTGCTCTTTCAAACCAGGACGACTTCCTTAACCTCTGTGGAGCTATTTTCCTTACCTAGAAATTGAGCTAATTATGCCTGCTTCTCTGAGCAGATGTGAGGAAATGAGGTAAGGTATGGAGACACCTGGTACAGGACACAGAGCACATGGATATGATGGTGGATGTGGTTGTTACTCCCTTCCACATCCCTTCCACATCCCTACCACATCCTCTCCCCAAGTCTCAGATGATCAGCATCTGTTTCCCCACAGAGAAAGGACCCAGGAAGGTCTTGACTTCCTGCCCCTGCCCCTCTTGATCTGTTTCCTCCTACCTCATAAAGGCAGGTGTACTTTCTTCCATCTGAGTCTAATCCTGAGCCTGCATTCTTTTATTTGGCCATTCATTCATTCATCAAAGAGCCACAAGCACTAGGTGGCAGTCAGTCACTGCTGTAGGTGATTGAGTCTCAGAAGTGAACAAACGATAAACTCCTCACAATGAATATAACTTGTGGCAGCAGAGACACAGAAAACAAAATAAGTAGTAGTATATATTGGAAGTTGGATGGGGATTAGTGCTCAGGAGAGAAATAAATCAGATTAAGGAATATGGGAAGTTGCTATTTAAAAGAATGCAGTAGGGAAGTAGGGGAGCAAGCTACAGGAATCCCTGGTAAAAGCATTCCACAAAGAGAGAACAGCATGGCAAAGCCCAGAGCATACCTGACCTTTGTGAGGGATAACAGAGAAGCTAGTGTGATGGGAGCATAGTAAGGGGACAATATCATGAGGGGTTGAGTGCCCGCCAGGCCACATGTGGCCTTGAAAGCTGTTGTGCCCTCCTTGTCTTTGCCAATGAGAGGGGAGTCATTGTAAGCTCTTGAGCAGAGGAGGGACTGGAGCTGACTCATGCTTTCAGAAGTTACTTCAGCTAGTAACTGAGATTACTGTGTCAAGGAAAGGGGCACAGATAGAAGCCTCAGGGCCAGCTTGGAGCCCCAAGGCTGGGAGACAAGGGTGACTTACACCAGTGTGAAGTCGAGGAAGTGATGAGAGGTGGTCAGATGGTGGATTTAGTTTAAAAACAGAGTTAAAAGGCTCTGCTCATGGACTTAGATGGGGAGCATGAACAAAACAGTGGGTCAATGATAACTTTAGGGTGTGGTCCTAAAAGACTGTACAGATGGAGCAGCCATTGACTCAGATGGGGAAACTAAGAGAGAAGTAGGTTGTGGAGGGGCAGGAAAGGGAGGAAGTGGCACAGAACAGGAAGCTCAGTTTTGGATGCATGAATATTGAAGAGCCCACAAGGAGGCACATAGAGATGTTGAGTAGGCAAGTGAATAACAAAGGCCCAGCCAAGGAGAAGGGCCAGGGCCAGACATATCATTATTCTTTTTCTTCTTCTGTATCTTCACCTTTGTGTAATAGTCTCTTTTCATTTACCTGATACATTAGTTGTCTATTGCTTTAAAACAAATTACTGAAAACTAAGTGTTTTAAAGCAGCAACCTATATATTTCCATTTCTATGGATCAGATGTTCAGGCACAGCTTCATGGACCCCCCACTCAGTGTTTCATAGGTTGCAACTGAGGTGTTGGCCAGGGTGGAGTCTTACCTGGACTCTTGGCTGTGGAAGAGTCCTTTTCCAGGATGAACTGGGTTGTTAGCAGAATCTATGTCTTCACAGTTGTAGGGTTGAAGGCCCTAAATTTTCACAGGCTGTTGCTGGATCCTGTACTGCACTCCCAGAGGCCACCCTCAGCTCTTGGCCATGCTGGGTCCCAACATGACTACTTTCCCCTTCAAAGCCAGTTGGGAAACAAAGCCTCCAGAACAGGTCAGATAGCAAGGCAGAGTCTTACAAAGCAATATTCAATCATGGAGGGCATCTCACTTTCACTAGTGAGCAGCAAGTCACAGGTTTAGTCCACATTCAAGGGCATGTCCCTGGGGGCACCACACTAGAGACTTTTCTCTACTGTATAACAAGCTAAATGTTCTCCCAACCCAAAGACCCTGCTCTCCCCTTCCCTGAGCACATGCTCCCACTTGGTTCTCCCTAGGTCTTCATTCCATACACATAAAGTCTCAGAAAAGAGAGCCACAAAGCCTCTTCTCCTTACTGGTTATGGTGATATACTAGTGCTCCACCCAGCCCTTAAACTTCCCGTTATTAAGAATAGTCTCCCAGCCATCAAACCTACTGTCCTTTCTTCATAAACCTGCCTCCCTGAGTAAGTATTCTTCCCTATTTGGCATCTGTTTGCCAAGTCCCAGGGCTTCTCTTGGTCTTTCCTTACACTCAGGGACCTGCTTCTCAGAATTCTTGCTCTACTAGCTCCTTAAGTACTGCTGTTCCTTGGCCTTCAGTCATGAGCTCTCTTTTTATACCACACATGCTCTCTGTAGAGTTTCATATCATATACAATATATAAAGGATTTATCAAGTAGGCTTATAATGTCTGCCTACAGAGTAAGAAGTGGAAGACTGCAAAATGGCTATCTATGAGCTGGCTGGAGAGTTGGAGGATAAATATTCTATACCTCTGGCAATAAGGTAAACGCAAATGAAAACAACTCTGAGATTCCATCTTATTCCAGAATGAATTATCAAACAATGAAATAATATGAAATGCTGGTGAGGATGTGAGAAAAAAGAACCCTTCTACATTACTGGTGGAAAAGTAAACTAGTGCAACAAGTATGAAAATCAGTATAGAGAGTCTTCAAAAAACCAAAAATAATATTTCCATTTAACCCAGCTATTCACCTCCTGAGTATCTTCCCAGAAGTGTTCAGAACTTCATTATAAGTACATACCCATGTTCATAGGAGCACAACTCATACTAGCTAAAGATTGGAAGCAGCACTCTGAGTAGGCCAAACACTCAGGTTAAACAACTGTCGAGTGTTACTGTAGGTTTTTTTTTTTTTCCTGTCAAATTTCTACTTCTATTATGAAAGACAAAAGCATTTCCATTTCAACAGTTTGTCAGCTTTATTAATGTTGGACAAAAACTGATGTTATAAAAATGAAACAGATCTATAGTTTTGAGGCAAAATTATAAAATTAAATGTGTAGGTAACCTATTAATATACTGCTATAAAGTATTTTTTGAAGAGAGATATGCAAAGAAGCTATTACCTACATGAGATGTATATTTAAAGATTTTTTTTCATTCTGGCTTCCAGGAATATTAAAAAGCAGATATATTTAACCATAACATACTGTGATTCATCAAATAGCACAAACTTTCATTTCATGGAGTTTATCTGTTGATGCTGATTTAAACTATCACTTGTTTTATCATGTGAGAACACAAGTTATATGGTCAAAAACATAGGATTTTTAACTAATGTTATTCAAGTTGTGTTATCTTATATTCTTTTCAAAGTGCTGCCAGTTGAAAAGGAAAGCATTATGTTTACAAATCTGTTTGTGAAATGTTTGCCAAAATTTTGGTAGTATCTTTAATAAAGATGTCTGTCTCCAGCATCCAAGAAAACAAATAAATAACTTTGTCGCATATCACTGTAAACCAGAAAATGTTGGTATCTAGGAAATATAAGAGAATATGTAGATTTAGAAAAAGAAATTGAAAGCAGCTTGTATATTCATCAATAGACAAACGGGTAAAGAAAATGTATTTATACATAGTGGAGTACTTCTCTTCTGTCAAGAAGAATAAATTTGAGTCATTTGTAGCAATATGGATGCATCTCAGGACCATAATGTTAAATAAAATAAATTAGATGGGATGGAAAAAATATGGCAGAATAGTGTGCAACAACAACTCAACCACTCTGAGATTTGGAATCCAGACTTTGGAAAACCACTTGCCAAAAAACAAAAGAGAGAAGTAGATTTCCAGGAACCAGAAGGATCTGACAGGAAAATTAAAAGGTACAGAGAAACTGAAGAAAAAGAAAACAATGCAGATAAAGGAGGAGACTATCTGTACTTTTTCTGTGGCTTATGGTGGCTCATAGCCCATGGGGGCTTGTGGCTTATGACTCATGATGGCTCAAGGCATCAGTGAATACTGAGACCAAGTGAATGCTGTAGACCAAAGGGGACCTCAGAGAGGTAGGTGGTAGAACAGATTGGATTGGCAGCTGCTAAGATCTATAGCAAGAATGTGAGACACTGCTCCTAGTGAGTCATTCTATAAGCAGTGGCTGGTGAATGACTCTAGTACAAGTGCCTACTACATCCCTAGAGAGAGATCTTGGTCAGACACCATCCTGGTAAAGGGTTGTTTGAACCTAGGACCCAGAAGAGCTACCCAGCTCCACTGCAGGGCTCCTAGTGTTACATTCCCATAGTAACTGGGTGAGAGGTGCCATGGGAGATAGCTGTGACCATAGAGCAGGATGAAAAGAGTCATCCTGAGGGGTAAAATAAGAATAAAAGAAAAGAATGATTAATTCTAATCTGTTGACTATTTTTGACCAGGTTGGCTGTATTCATTACTTCATTAATAGTTACTGAGTAAGTAGTCATAGAACATATTTTGTAATATTTAAGTAAAGATTCCAGAGACATAATTTCCATCATGATTGAATTGCTAAATATTACATTCCAATGAGGTTGTACTTTTTTTTTTTTGAGGTTGTACTTGATCAAAAGTATTTCTTTTCTGTTTTTGTTTTTCATTTTCAATACCACTCTTTGCATTGATTAGCATTTCCTTTTATATTGATTAAAAACACTAACTTTTGACTTAGCATATCTCAATGTTTGGTCCTTCTAAAAGTATACTGCTCCCTCAGTCCCTTTCTTACCAGTTTATAAATTTTTACCTCTCTCCTCTGCTGAAGCTTCATCAATTGTTAGTTGACAATCCTATCTTCATATCATGGTCTGAAATCATCTTTGATAAATGTCTTTCTAGTTACTCTGGCTTTGTGATGAATGGAATAAACACCCCTAAATCATGTGTTGAAGCCCTGAACAACTATATTATATTATGTGGATATTATATCTTCAAGTATATTAGATTTTTACCTGATCACATAGCTATGTTTGCTTGTACCTGTAATACCTACTAGGAGAGAGAGAGAGACAGAGAGAGAGAGACAGAGAGAGAGAGAGAGGCATCTGCAAGAAGATAACCTTCACCAAAAGCCAGATTAGTCAACAAACATGCCTTGCACTGTTTCTGAGTCTTCAGAAACATAAATAAAATGTTCATTGTGCTCCTCAGCTCAAGAAATTTTGTTACATCTGTTTGATATTCTATCCCCTCCAGCCACTGTTCTTTAAATTAACTAAAACATCTATTATATTGTATGACTGTTAAGATGTAGAGGGTGAGGAGAAGGAAGTGAGAAGAAGGGGATAAAAAAGATATTAAGATGTGTTATGTACATGTACCAACTTCCTATGATGAATGTAATCAATATGTACCGCAAATGTACTAACAACAGCAACAAAAACAAGAACAACAATATATATATATATATATATAACTTTTACATGTAGACCTACATGAAGTTATACCAAGTACTACACTTTTTCTCACAACTCTAACATAAATACCTTTATGATTTGCAAAGAGGGACCAGGGATTTAGCTCAGTGGAACTGCGCCTGCCTCACAAGGGCAAGGTCCAAAGTTCAATCCCCGGTACCAAAAAATAATAATGATAAATAAAAACAAAAATATGATTTGCAGAGAGTACAGGTAAAAACTGAATGATGCATTCAAAACTATAGTGAGAGATTCATGAAGTTTTAGTTACAAAAGCACACATGGTGATAGAGGAAACCTGTATGTCATGTGAAAAATGACAATGTCAGAAACATCAATGTGCAGAAATATGCAGTGAACTTAAAGGGGCAAAATCTGAAGTTGCCAGAACCCTAGAGCTAGCAGAGGTTAATTCAGCAGGCTATATAGCCAATAGAGGACAGGAGGATTGCCATCATCTCAGGATAGCAGGGTAGTTGGCGGGAGAATAAATACCCTGCCTTCTCTTGCCTCCTATTGGCTGCTTTTCAACTGGTACTCCCCATTAGTTAAAGCAAGCAGAATCCAGAGATTGTGCCAGACTGAATGCTGTGGTATTTACAAGTCAGCTTCTTGGAGAAGAATGCAATGTGGGAAAAGGCAGTGAATCTTCCAGGTCAGTAGGTATCATTAGTACCAGGCTAGTTTTCATTGTCAGAGGCTCTACTCTGATACCCCAACTTTGAAAAATTATTCCATGAATTTCCAAAAGCACCAGAACATCATATTTCTCTTCTCTAGCCTCCTGAGGAAGACTCTCAGGAAGTTTGTATAGTGTAGAGTATAATATCTAATAGTGTACCATTTCCTCTCATCACATGGGGCAGAGATATATTCATTTCACTCACAATATATTGGCTGTTTACAATGTAAATGTAATATATACAGTCGGGTATGGTAGTGCACACCTGTAATCACAGCTACTTTGGACTTTGAGATACAAAGATTGCAAGATTGAAGTCAGCCTGGGAAACTGAGAAAGTCCTTGTTTCAAAATAAAATTAAAAGGTCTGTAAATGTATCTCCACCCTAAGGAACTTGTCTAGCATGTCCAGAGTCATGAGCTCAATCTCCAACACTTCAGAATGAAGGAAGAACCGATACACATTCTTCAGAAAGCATACTCTGATTTTTAAATTTTATCCTTTTTGCTCAGTAGTGACGTTACAAAATACTCATATGGTTGGGCAGTAGCAATAAGCTCTGCCCTGTGAGCTACAGGTTACTATGAGTAAATAACAAGTCCTCTTCAGTGTACTGTATGCAATATTACATGTAATATTTAGTATTTTTATGAAATAGACACAGTTTTTTTCTAACTATGGGTCAATGTAAGTGTACTAAACCTGTTTATATAGAAAGGGCTTGGTTATAATACTCCCTAGATTATGCATATCCAGCTTGCATATTTATTGCAACTTTCTTTGGGTTGATAGAATATAGCCACACTGTACTTCAAGGAACTTCTGTAAACTCAACTCTAGTGAACCTTTTGTGCACAAAACACTATCTTCATTATAATATTTCCTGGGTTAAATGCTATGTTTGTGAGGGTGGTATCATGGAACAGTTCCAGGGGAACACATGAATATGAATGTATATGTGTGTGTCTTTCCTACCAGTCTCATGTTACAAGAGAGACTTTTAGACTTCCTTGTGCACTCAGGGCCGAATACTTCTTCAGTGTGTGTCTGAGGGCTTGAAAGCTGGGAAGATCAGTGACTGCTCAAATGAAGGAGCTAGAATCCTCAGAACAAGAAAGAGCAATAGTTCAGCCATTGTCCAAACATGAAGACTTTGAAGCCCCCTAGGGAGCTACTGACAAATATATGTGTTAAAAAATTGACTGTCCAGAGTCTGAAGTTTATGGACCATGGCAGCAGCAGAAATCATACCTGCTTAAGAAGGGTCAAATATGTTGAAGCTTCTCCTTTCTACTTGTTTTTTAACTCACCATTCCCAGTCCTCCTGGAGGTGCCAATTTTTGCTCTTTGGAAGTTCTCTGCACTCAGGTCAGTGATCCTCATGTGAGTTATCTCTAGAAATACCATCAGAAACATACCCAGAAGTGTGCTTTACTAGTATCTCAGTATTAAGTACTATTGTTAGTCTCTATCTGTATACAATTTATCAATTAAATTTTACCATGGATGTGAATAGTTTAATATAATGCACAGTTGGAGGCAAACATTGGGAACATTGAAACATATCCCTCTAAGGGCCGGGGATTTAGCTCAGTGGCTTCGCCGCCTGCCTTGCAAGCACAAGGACCTGAGTTCAATCCCCGGTACCAAAAACAAACAAACAAACAAAAACATATCCCTCTAAGATAAGGGAGTACTACTGTGTTTATTTTTCATTAAAACAGAGAGGTATACCACTCTTGTCAGACAGTCTGCACTGCATCAAGAGGAAAAGGGACAGGACAGAAGTGAGAGCAGAGACATGTGGCTGATCAACTTGTTCCAAGACAAGTAGCATCTACATTGCTCAAGAAGAGCCACTCTTCCACGCCCAAGTCTAAGTTAACCTGATCTTCAAAGAAGATATCATAAAATGGAAAGATATCCCTTGTCCTTGGAGAGAAAGAACCAATATAGTGAAAATGGCCATAGTTCCAAAATTGTTATACAGATTTAATGCAATCCTGATTAAAATTCCAACAGCAGGGCTGGGGATTTAGCTTAGTGGTTCTGCTGCCTGCCTCACAAGCGCAAGGACCCAAGTTCAATCCCTGGTACAAAAAAAAAAATTCCAAGCAAAAGAGACCTAGAATAGCAAAGGCAAGGCAGGGGATATCACAATCTCTGACCTAAAATTATACTACAAAGCTACTGTGATAAAAACAGCATGGTACTGGCAAAAGAATAGACCTTAGGATCAACACAACAGACTAGAAGACGCAGAAAAATACTTCAGACATACTCACCCACCTAATCTTTGACAAAGGAGCCAACCCTTCACTGGGAGGAAAGATAGCCTCTTTAATAAATGGTGCAGGAAAAGCCAGCTTTCCACATGCCGAAGATTGAACCTAGACCTGTATCTTTCACCGTGCACTAACCTAAATCAAAATGGATCAAAGATCTAAATATTAAAGTGGAAACACTAAATCTGCTGGAAGAGAGAATAGGGAGAATGCTTGAGGGCATAGGGGTAGGCAAAGACTTCATGAACAAAACCCAGACTGCACAGGAAATACTACAAAGCATCAACAACTGGGACCTCATCTTATTAATAAGCTTTTACACAGTAAGAGAAACCACCAACAGAGTGAAGAGACAACCCACAGCATGAGAAAAAAAGTTTTCACCAGCTGTTCATTAAAGGACTATTATCTAGAATATATAAAGAACTAAAAAAAACCCCACCAGGCCCCCCAAATTTAAAGACCCAGTCCAAAAATGGGCATCAGAAATGAACAAACACTTCTCAGATGAAGAAGTAGAAACAGCAAATAAATATATGAAAAAATATTCAATATCACTGGTCATTCATGAAATGCAAATTTAAAAAACGCTGAGATTCCATCTCATACCAGAAAGAATGGCTGCTATCAAGAAATCAACCAATAACAAATGCTGGAGGGGCTGTGCAGAAAAAGGAATCCTTTTCCACTGTTGGTAGGAGTGTAGACTGGTGCAACCACTGTGGAAATCAGAATGGAAATTTCTCAAAAACCTAAAACTAGAGGTTGCATTTGACCCAGCTATTCCTTTGCTTGGTATCTTCCCGAAAGAATTAAAAGCATCATACCACAGTGATATATGCACACTCATGTTTATAGCAGCACAGTTTGTAATAGCTAAATCTTGGAAATAGCCCAAGTGCCCATCAACCAACGAATGGATAAAGAAGATGTGGGTTTTTAATACAATAGATTATTACTCTGCCGTAAAGAAGGATGAGGTTCAGGCATTTATAGCTAATTGGATGGACCTTGGTACCATACTTGTAAGTGAAATAAAACAGACACACATGTTTAACTATCACACTCCTTCTCTGGTGTGAGAAACCAAAAGTGGAAATAAGGACTAAAATATATAATAGATATTGGGAAATGGGAAGAAAATGTTCAACTGGAAATGGGAACAAGGTTAGAGGGATGGAGAAAGGAAGGAAGGGACAAGAAAAACAAGTGAAAATAAAAGGGAAAAATGGAAACAAAGCTTTTGTCCATAGCGAGAAGAGGGCAGTTGAGGGGAGGGGGGAAATGAGAAAAAAGGAGCAGGATGTACCATGGACAGGTGCAAATTCCCTATAATGAGTGTTATCATTATGTATGCCTAAAATGTACCAATAAATGTTTTGCTATTTAAAAAATGAGAGAGAGAGAGAGAGAGAGAGAGAGAGAGAGAGAGAGAGAGAGAGAGAAGGTACAGCACCCACCTACTTCCCCTGGGGATAAATAGCAGTGATTGATATTCTAAATAGGAATTCCTTGAAATTCCTTGTACTTTCCCAGTATGCTTGCTACATGACTAGCTTCCCCGTTTGATTCTCATTTAATCAATATTACCTGGGTGACTGTACTTGTAATCTTATTGGTTGATCATAGTTTTGTCCCACCTTGTGCCCACCTTGTGATTTCCTATTGGATCTTATCAGTTGACTGTAGTTTTGTCCCACCTTAAACCCGCCTCACCTCATGGCTTTGCTCACTAAAACGCCTTTGAGAAGCTAGGTGGGTGGGCAACCCACTTTCCAGTCCCCCTTCTGTCTCTCTTAGACAGAAGCTATCTTTCTCTCAATAAACTTTTCCTACTCTTAACCTCTGTTGTTCCTGCAATTCATTCATCTATTTCAGAGAACATGAACTTGCATTTTAAATACCTAGCATGTTGGGAGTTATAATATTTCCATTGTTTGGATTATTTTTGCTTATTTGTTTTACTTGGTGCCCTATATAATTTTTGGATTATTTGCTGCCCTATATCAATACCCCCTTTTTCTCCAGCTTTAAAGAGATATACTTTTGTACAACAAATTTCACTAAGTTAAAGTAAAAAAAAAAAACCACAATATTTGTGAATTTATACTGACTTGCCCTTGAAAGGCACTATTTATAATATGGCACAGGTTATTTCTTGCTCTCCTTTGCACATATACAGAGATCTCCCATATATATGCTATATGAAAGGGGGGAAAGAAAAAGAAGAAAGATAAACGTGAAAGAAAGAAGACAGAAAAACAAAACAAAACCTACACCACAGCAAAATATACAATTAAAGCTTTGTGACAGAACTCTTTATACTGCATTCTGAGTTTCTATTGCCCCACATTGAAACTGTGAAAGCTTTGATCTGTAAGGGGCATCTGGATGGATTTCTGTACTGACTCTTTCCTCCACTTGCACCCTCCTTAGTCACAGTAACCAATGTGTGGTCCTCCTCAACTTCATTCATCTGTAGCTAGCTCCTGCTGGTCTCTGGCCTGGTTCCTGTTTTGATCTGTTCAATTGCCTGTCTGTGTGTGCAGAGGCTTGGTGATCTGAACTGAATATTGAGTTTCCACTCTTTTGCAAGCTGTTCTTTGAGCATGACCAACTTCAGACCTTTGCCTTTGATCTAAAATCAGACTCCTTCAATTAATTCACAGAGGGAAAGATGCTGTATGATAGGCTCAGCACCCAGCTGTCTGCTGATTTCTATGTGGATTTCTTGATTTCCATTTTCCTCCCTGCATACCAATCCTGAAGCTGCTTCTGTGTTCTTCCATAAGCCTTCTGATAAACACACTGCATGTTGCTCTCTGGCTAAGTTACCACTCTGCTCTCCTCTCATAGTGGTCCCTTTGTCACTTTCAGAAAAGCATCTCTCATCTGCCCATAAATTTGGTGGTTCCTTGGGGTCCACCACTGAATCCAGCAGGCCCCAGGTGGGGGAGAGCAGGGCTCCCTGGTGAGTGCCTAATGATGGGTGGTGGGGAAGTGCGCAGGGTATCCTGGGAGCACAACCCTCCTGGTGTTTGGGGAAGAATGAATGAGTGACGATTTGTTTTTCTTACTCCCTAATGGGTTGTCACTTGCTACTGTCGCTACGCACATAATACACAGGGCCCTGACTTTTCTCTGCATTCAAATTGGGATATTAACCAGCATATCCTCTAATTTTTACCTTTCCTTGAGACCCATCAAACTTCTGTCTTGCTTTCAGCTTCTTTGGTACTCTGGTCTGAAAATACCTCATTTACTGTTCCTATTTTGTGTCGGGAAGGTAGGAGCCTATTTAGTGCCTATTAGAAGCCTATTTCAGTGGCCTGCCTCTGATGAATTTCAGGCTCCCTTCCTCAGATTGTTAGATATTCTCCCGAGATGGTGTGTATGCCAGACGTGCATTATATTTGGGAAATGGACCAAGGATGGTCCAGCTTCTTCTGTAAAACCCTTGATTCTGGATTTGGATGTAGTGGGTTTCTCCTTCAGTTTGTCTTGCCATATCAGTCTTTCTTTTTCACCTCCATTTCCACTTACTGTTTTCCACAGTGTATCTTGGGAGTCTTCCTCATGAAGTGCTGCCCCAAATTGGCCATGATGGAAAGCCCCAGGTCCTCTTTTTCAAACAGTCATTATAAGGTACTGGGCCTGTCCCTCATGGCTGCTCTGTTGCTTCCTGGCACACTGACTGAAGCTCCAGGACACAACTTGTCAGTCACCTCCATTGCTGTTGGAATTCTCTGTAACAGAACATTTTGTAAAAGTTACCTCGGAGTCAGAATAAACATTTTTCTATTTTTCCGTTCTTAATATATCTAATGTCTGAATATAAAGTACATAAGAATACACAATTCATAAATTGCCTTTCTTAACTCTGTGTGAGAATTCGCAACTACAATCAACTATCTCTTCTAACCATTTCTTCTCAATCTCACCCTTTCTTTACTTTTCCTCCTTGGCTTATAGTAACTAGTTACACTGATAATAGCCTCTCTGATTCTTTGTGCATTCTCTCTTCAGTTGAAGATTGTTTCTTCAGCCCACTTTAGTAAAGTATAATCCACTTACCTTGTTATTTACTCATTTAATCTTTTTTTTTTTTTGGTACCAAGGATCAAACTTGGGTCCTTGAGCTTGCGTAGCAGGTGGCGAAACCACTGAGCTAAATCCCCGGCCCTTATTTACTCATTTAAAATATACATAAATATCTCCGCAGTTGATTTAGAACATTTTCATCACCTTCTAAAGAAACTGTGTCATCTTTCACCAGCGTTCCACTTTTTCTAAGTCGTATGCACCACTAACATACTGTGCCTCACAATAGATTTTCCTATTCTTGCCATTTTATAAAAGTTGGATAATTCAACATTTATCTCTGCATCTGTCTTTTTATCATATTTCCAAGATTCCTCCATGTTTTATCATGAAATAGAACCTCATTTTTATGTTTAAATTTCTATTCCATAGATACCTTACATTATTGTTTATTCAGCAATTTATTCACATTTGAATCCTTACTGCCTATTAGCTTGGATGAAAAATAAGCTGTGAGCATTCATATAAACATTTGTTCTGCCTCTCAAGTGCAACGTCCTGAGTTTGATCCCCAGTACCAAAAAAAAACACCCAAAAAACCAAATGCTTAGCTGGGTGTGGTGCCCCCACCCTCCGCATGCCTGTAATCCCAGTATTTGGGAGGCTGAGGCAGGAGGATAATCACGAGTTCAAGGCCAGGCTGGGCTACCTAGTGATTTCAAGGCCAGCCTGAACTACATAGTGAGACCCTGTCTCAAAAAAACAAAACATCTGTTTTGATTAATACTTCTGTATTTTAATGGGTATACCTAGGAGAGGAAATGATGGGCAACATGAAAATTTTTTAAATATGTATTTGGAAATTTCCATTCAATGCACATGTTGAAATCTAAACTCCAGGGAGAAATAGTAAGACACTAAAACTTTATTATCTAAGATATGCACAGCTGGAATCTTCAGAGGTGATGACAAATAGACATGTTGGCTTAGTGGGCTTTCCTGTTATTGAATGCAAAAATAGATTTAAAAAGGGAACAGAGTATACATATGCACGCTTTATCTTTTATTCTGTATGATATCAGGATTCTAAGCAAGAATGTTGTCACCAGATATAAGTTTTCAAACTTGACCTAAAATGATGAGCCAAGGTAAATGTCCTGTTTATAACTTACTGAGTGTGGAATATTGTGTTGATGAAAAGAAATGGATTGACAATACTTTACATTTCACTACTGCAGGAACTGTCAGATCATTTTCCAACATGACTCCCCACTTTATATTTGCCATATCAGTTTGTGAGTTTTCTTTACATCCTCACCAAAAGTTGTGACTGTTCCTGGCAATATTCTTTAACCTGGTATTATTGTGACCTGATGTGTTGACATGGTTCTAAGAATTTCAAACACATAAATTCTTACCTCCCAAAGATGATAGGATTATTATCGGTTCCATGTGAAAGATGAGGAAACAGAGAAGAGATATGATGTTAGTTCAGTAACTGTCCTCCACCTGAAAGGGAAAGTGTAAAAATTAACCAATTATTAATTTGAAGCTGAGGATCAGAAGCACTTGCTTCTACCTCTGATGTGTTGGGAAAGCCAGACTATCCCAGAAATAAAAGTCATACTTGGACAAATGAGCCAAATTTGAGCCAGCATCAATACCATGAGCTCAGTTAAAAATACACTGTTCTTAGAACTTGAGGAGAAAAGACCAGTCAGTAAGAGAGAAATGAGAGCTGTGGTGAGTTTGGCCAGCCATGATTCTGAGTCAGGCCTTATATGTGTGAATATGCTAAAGAGTGCCATGTTGTAATCTTATGATTTTTACTTCCAAAATGAGTCGAAGACTAGGAGTGTAGCTTGAAGAATGCAGTACACCTGCCCAACATATGCAAGACCTGGGTTAAATACCATTATCGCAAGGGAGGAAGGAAGGGAGGGAGGGAGGGAGGGAGGAAGGAAGGAAGGAAGGAAGGAAGGAAGGAAGGAAGGAAGAAGGAAGATTAAGAAAAATAATTGAGCTAAATTAAAAGTGGATTGGACTGAAATCAATCTGGAGAACATATATGTGCACTTAACTGCACTCTCACGTGAATGGCAGCACTATCCTCAATAGCCAAGGTGTAAAAACAACCTAAATCATCATCAATATTGTGTTAGACAGTTTTGACACAGTTGCTGTCACAAATAGCTCCTGTAACTTAAAAGAAGGTAAGTTTTGTTTTGGCTTGGATTCAGAGGTTTCCATCCTTGTTCAACTTATTTAATTATAATAGTCTAGTGGCAAGGCAGAAACATCATTACAAAAGGCATGAAAAAAAAGAGCAGGTCATCTCATGAAGTCAAGATTCTTCTTGAAGAGGAATAGGAGGAGAAGTAGAAAAAGAAGATGAAATAGAAGAAGGGGGGTTAGGAATGAGATATATTGTTTCAGAGCACAGCCCAGGAACATTCTTCCTCCAATATATCTATGGATTAATACACTGATGATTCAGAAAGTGTATGACAATGTTAAATCCAGAAAAACAAAGCACCTTGCAACCACACCTTCAATGCATGGCCTTTAAGGCCTTTTATACTCAAATCACAATAGTTGAATGGATAAAGTGAAGTTTATTCATACAATGAAATTTTACTTAGACTTAAGAGAAAGGAACTCCTTTCATTTGTGACAATGTGGATTAACCAAAAGATCAGCAAGTGAAATATGCCATGCATAAACAAATTAAAGTTTGACCATATTTGTATTTAGCATGTAAAATTGACAACCTTACAGAAGCAGAGAGTATAATGATGGTTACCATGTGTGGACATGGAGAAACTGAGAGATGTCAGTGAGAAAACACAATGTTTCCCTTGTACAGTACAAAAAGTGCTGTAGATCTCATAGTGATGACAGTGATTGATGTAGTGACCCACACATAGCATTACAATTTGCTAAGAAGTTTGTTTTTATTGTTTTCTCCATACACTTGTAATCATTTCACAAGATAAGCATAGCAACAAATTCCATTGTACACTTTCAATATTTGTGATTTTATTATTTTTTGCTTAAGTAAACACAAAATATCAAATTAAGCAAAATTAACATGACTATGGTTCCATGATGTGTCTGAAGAATCTTGCCTTTCTTCAATTTTTACAAAGATAATTTAGTTTGCAGTGTATTTATTTCTGAAAGGATTTAGTATTTTCATAAAATTTATACATAGCTCATTGGAAATGTAAAATAATTTCTTTGAGGATATAAATTGATAAACATTTGACATTATCACAACTTCAGTTTCTCCCATTCATGACAGAAAGATGTTATACATGTGTTCAGAAAATTTCTACACTTTAAAGGCACTTAAGATTGGTTTATTTCACTTAACATGTTTTCAAATTGTATCCATTTCCTATAAATGTCTTAAATTTATTTTTCTTTATAGCCAAGTAGTATTCTCTTATGTACAGATACCATATTTTCTTTATCCATTCATCTGTTGATGGACATACAGGAAGAAAGAGGGAGACAGAATTTTGGCACATAGGCACTGGACCAAGAGGCCAAGGGTCAGGGGAAAGGGAAGGGTGTGTAAAAAATATTTAAGATGTGTCATGTACATGTGCCAACTACCCACAATGAATGTAATATTTATATGTCACAAGCATGAACTAAACAATAATAGTAATAGTAATGAAAATGAGGGAAGAGCAACTAGATGCAGAGGGAGGGTGGTGGGTGTGGCAGGAAAGGGTAATAAAAAGAATCAAGATATGTTAAGTATATATACCTACTCCCTAAGGTGATGTAAACATCATGTACTCCAAATACACATTAATAAATTAATAAAAGCATAAATATTTTTGTTTAGAGATATTTCATACTTCTTTCTGCATCCTAATGATTTTTCAGCAGATGTATTAAAAGTATTATGTAATTATGCCCATGGGTCTCTGGGAACCAATCTGCATGTTGCTGGTTTCTTTAGTTTTGAATTCCATATAAAGATCTATCTTTGTCATATCCTCCAACTGAATGTATTGACACTGACTGAGTTAAGCAGCAATCCATTGCATGAACTTCCACTGGTTACTCACAGCAATGACTATGTGAGGGAGAGGATGTAGGTATACACATGCACTGGGACATGTACATCATTCAGATTGAGTGAGCAAATCAATATATAATGTTTGTTTGTTTTGTTTTTTGCTATTTGGCTCCTATCATGGCTACCGTGTACTATATCATTCACCAAAAATTGTTTATAGACACTTAGTATTTGGTTAGGTTGCAGCCAACCTAACCAAAATACCGAACAATTGTTCACTTTATGAAATAATTGTTTTCTACAGTGATGAAGGCTAGGAAATACAGCCTCAAGGCACTGGCAGCTTAAATATCTAATGAAACATTTTTTATAGATGGTGCGACTTCTCAGATGCCAAGGAGGTGTACAAGGTGTCTTTGGCCTCTTTTTAAAGTGCATATATGTAATTCATTATTGAGGGTTCTCAACTCAGTTACATTAATAATTCCCAAAGATGCCACCTCATTATACTATCACCTTGGGAATTAGGTTCCAAAACATATATTTTGGGGTACATGAACACTGAGAGCACAGGAACCATTATATGAGGTTATGTTATGTGTTGAACAGTGTTGTGGATTGCGTGAGTCTTTATTATCCCCAATAATTTATATGCTGATACACAATACAAACTTATAAGTTCTTGAAGGATAAAAACTTAAGCAAGCTTCTGCACTTAGATTTTAGAAAAAATAATGCAGTTGTAGATGTTATGAACTGAATCAAGCACAAAGTATTGCTGAAAGACAAGTTTGACCACCATGAATTTTGAGAACCTGAAAAGCATATATTAAAAAGTAAACAATAAAGCAAGATCTTTGCCTGGCTCATAAAATAATTTCTGATGTTATCAGTAGCTACTGCTTCTTGAGAAGTTTAAGCCCTCAAAATCATAGTTGAAAATTGTTACACAGGACATAAAAACAATAAACATTGAAGAAACAATTTCAGAGGGTGTTATGGCTTGTATCTAGATGATCCCCAAAGCCTCACACAGTCTTTTTCAGAGGTGGCTGGATCTAGAGTGTGACTGATTCATAGTGCAATGCTGGGATTAAGGATGTGTGATTACTAAATCAATCCACTGATTGGTTTGGAACTGCCCTAATTTCAGTACCCTAGATAGAGTATAAAAGGGGCAGAATAAAGCTGCTAAGGCCCCTTTTTACTTTTACTACCTTGTGGGCACCATTAACTTTCTCCTCTATGATTCCCCTCTGCTTTGTGGCACTCTGCCTTGGAACCAGCTGACTATGGACTGAGACCTTTACAAACCGTGAGCTAAATAAATCTTTCCTCCTTTAACTTTGAGTGTTGGGTATTTTGTCTCAGCAGTGAGAGAAAAGTAACCAAAACAGAAATTTGGCCAGAGAAATGGGGTCGCTGCTGTGACATTACCTGGCTATGTGGCCTAAGGGCCTTTGGCACTGGCTTGAAGGAGGGGAAAGACTTGGGAAAGATTTGGAGATGCTGGCTGAAAAGTAGAGCTGAAATGCCTTAGGCTGTACAGTATGGGAGATTCTGGTGAGAGCTCAGATCAGAGAGCATGGCACAAAAATCTAGTGAAGGCCTTTGTGATACATGATACATTGTTGAATGGCAACTAACTATGTGTGAGGTAAAAAAGAGCAAAAGAAGATTATTCTGGCCCTAGTCATAAGTCATCTACTTTCACTCTGATACCATCATTCTATTTATGTGGGCAAAGAACTCATGTGCTTATCACATATTAGTGGACCCATAAGGCAATGCTGTTCATTAGATATTCAGTTTCCAATATATGAAATTTAGGAAACATAGTAAATCTCACAATGGGTGACTGATTTGAAATCCCTGACTTGAGCCAGTAGAAAGTCCACAGTACATGGATGTCTGCACTTAACCTTGAATAGCCACATCCCTAGATACAGAAACCTCAGTTCTGGTCAGTGTCCATTTATAGCTTTATTGTCAACAACCTGAGTAGGATCCAATTTTTGGTATGTGTTACTTTTCTTTACTTTAAATATATGTTTTTCAGTACATTACACAAACTTAGCCAACATTTCAAACAAAAATACAATGACTGAGTGAAAAGAACCAATATAGCCTGTGAATGCCAAAAGGGTTTGTCTAATGAATGACTCTGCAGAAACTTTAGTAGACTGGTGTGCATCTTTGCTAGAAGTGAATACAATGCAATACATGCTTTATTTATTAAGGCATCTTTATAAAGCCCTTGCAAGACATAAGTACTCTATAGAAGAATATTATAGGAAGGGTAGTTTCTTGAAGAGTAGAATTGGAGAGACAAAGCATGGGGTCGATTCTATGCACCTTGACATGCCTCTCAGTACTCTTCACTGAGGCATTTGTCTATAACTTCCCTCTCTTCTGCCCCTATTTTGTCTTTCTTGGGCCCAGGAGCCATGATTCATGAATCTTTTCTCTGCCT